AAACTACAGATGTAAAAGATATCCACCCTAGCAAGCAGCATGATACATTAGTATCATTAAGATAACTTCAAGTTGCAATATCCAATTGTAGGAATTATATAGAAGAACATGCTCTAACGCCACAGAAAGTAGGAAATACAAATTTTCCTTGCTCTGCCCTGATTGTGTTTTCAGGTCAGACTAATTAGATTATTTTCTAGGATTAGAAAATAAGTTATGATGTTAGTGGTACGCAAAAGGTAATTCTAAGCAACCACCAATTATCAGTTCATATTTCAGCACCAAAAGGACTTAAGGCCACACCATCATTAAATGATATAATAGGTCCAGTCTTACTAAATCACTGTTTAAAAATACTATTTGTTTCTACCTGCTGTAGAAGACATTAAACCAAAAACAAGCTCTCCTGTAAGTCATATAGGTACAATGCAGGTAAAATTGTTTTAAATACAGAAACGAAAGCGAAGTGTATTTAACTGAAGTGAAGCAACATTATTAGTTTATTGGACTTGAAGAAACACTATTATCAAAAGTCCACTGTCATTAGCCAGAGATGAGTTTGTATTGGTCACTATTGCAAATATAAGCATATATAAATACTGAATGTAGTTGTAGTTGGGTAATGCTGTTCACCATGATTATGGCTATCAACTTCCACAACATTTCTGCTCTGAACATAAAGAGAAAGCAGAATAAGACTTTTTAACCGAGCACCAGTTATTGCTGAGAGTTGGAAAACTTGTCTTAGTAACTTCAAATGAAATACAAATATTTGATTTTCCGAATTCCTATGAGAATCTTGCATACACAGTGCTTCCAACATCTTATATTCAGAGTAATAAATGGGATACTATAAATGGGGAGAATATTTCAATTCAAACTAAGAACCATGAATGCAATTCAAAACCAGACAAGTACAAAGGGTTCTTTATAATAATTTGTCAATTTCTATTAAAATACATGTACACATTATATATTCTCTCTCTATACACATGCCATATAGAGATACCCTGTACCTTACTCAGTATACTGCCACATATTCTACCACTATAGAATCTGTTCCCATAGAAGACTTAAAATCAGTGTAATTGTACAGATGGTACCCATAATTATCATAATGATGATGGTCAAAATACCATTAATTTCTTGGAGGAGTATCCTCTAGTGAAGGGCTTGGAGATGACACCAACTAAACACTAGGAAAATGCCTTTCTGCAATATAAATGTTTTTATATTATTGTACAGTGTTCTTACTACCAAAAAGGCTGGCAAATTTTAACGAAATATAGTCCCAGCACTTTATTTCATTCAAAAGGTTAACTTAGGAAGACATCTGCATTTTAGTTAGTTATGTGCATCTGTATGGTAAAGACTCTCCATCAGGAAATTTAGCAAGAAAGCGCCACAGAACACATTAGGCATTTTAAAGGTCTGCTTTCACACCATCTGAACATTAACTTCCGGGAATTTAGAAAGTAGCTTAAAGCTGATGAAAGCCTTTAACACTTACTTACATTGATTTACCTTAAAGCAATGTTTACTATGCGCACTGAAGTGATATTTGATACAATAAGGCAATGTAACACACAATAAAGTCATATGATGTAATAATGTAACTAATTTCTAAACCAAACAGATTACAATTAATTTTAACACTGAGAACCTAAGATTTTTTCAGGGGATTTAACTGCTCTTAATTTGATCAGGTTTTAAACTGTCTTTCTTTTGTTCCTTTATTTAAAAAAAAGAAAAAAAAAAGAAAAAAAAAAAGTAGTTTGTGATCAAACTGCCAAATGTCAAAGTTGAAATCATCCTCCAATGCTAATATTATACTTCTTCAGTGGCTGTCAGAATCTGGCAGTCCATCCAGTAATTCTAAATAATCCATGAAAGGCAATTAAAAGAGACTGGAAAAAAGTCTATCATCAGCAATCTCGAAATTCTCTTTATAAGGGCCATCTCCTGATACTGAGGCACTGCAAGGGTCTATAAATTGAAAAAGGATGGAAAACTACACCATTATCCATTAGCCAAGAGCAAAAAGAAAACAGCCTAAAAGTGGTCTCTTTGAAGAGGCTGAAAAGGGCTAGAATGACAAGTCCTATACAATCACAAACCTTTGCCATCAGTGGTCTGCAGTTACATAGCTCGTCTGATCACAAGAGACCTGCAACAGCAGTCGAAACACTTAGAAATACAGCATTTCTAAACATTACTTAGAAGTCAGTGAATACAAATGTATGAACTGTCAGGGCTAAGAAAGCTTTAGAAAACTAGAACAAACAGCTTCAAAGGAAATAAGCTCTTTAGTAATTTGGCTAAGTTATTAAAAAGTAAGCAAGACCCTTGTACTTGATTGGGAAGAATGGGAATGAATCACAAGTTTTCAATATCCTTAAGACTTCTGTATACAAAACTAGTTATCACTAGACATAGCATTTTTTATGTAAATAATATAATCAGCTAGGCTTCATAGTACTGTCAGAATCTTTTAAGAGTTGCTTTCAAGTTTTTATTTAAATATTTGATACTTCATCCAAAAGATGAGTTACACAAGTAAACCAAATACTTCTTTACGGGAAATCATAGCATGTAACCAATCTAACCTATTTTTTATTAGAAGTCCAAAGCATACAAAGCCTTATTTATCTGGCAATTCCCTTTTACCATATATCTGCCAAAACCCTGTCACACACTGACTCCTAGGATCTTAAATAAAAGCAAATGCAGTTTTGGCAAATGTAACTGACACTAGGGTGTTTGGTTTTTTCATTAAAAAAACAAACCACCACACAAACAACATTAAAACTCCCAACCCCCCAACATTTACATTACTTAAAGACAAGGTCTTCAAACATTGACAGTTTTGTTCTAGTTTATAGTTTTGATTCCAAAATTTGAGAAGGTATTGAATGGCTATTCTTGCAGTTTCTCGAGGTGTATAACCAAGAAAGAACAAGCTAAAACACCTTTGTTTTCGAAACAGTTTATTGCCAAGCATGCTCAAATGCAGGAACATGAGTACAGTTAGTATCGGTGCTTAATCCTCCTTCTCAAATTAGTTGGAAACAAAATGAATGCTGCTGAATACATGCAGTAAGAGATTTTTTTTCCAGGAATACTAGTACCTGTTAATTTTCACATGTGCTACTTTCAACAAGTTTACCAGTGTAACTGAATGTATAAGTCTAGTCAGAATTTTTTAATAGTGTTTAATTTTGAAAAAATCAGTTTCAACAATTAACACTGTCCTTTCACATTCAGAAATAAATCTCAAAGTGAAAAATCAAATCCAACTGGAAAAAAACTTTCCTGTTGTACACACAGTACACTGAAATGCAAAATTTACCAGTTGTCTTGCTCAGACACCTTCCTCTACAGACTATTGCTAATACAGACATGTCTAAAGATAAACATGAAGTGAGAAGAAAGAGGTTTGAGGATGGGAGTGGAAATGCATGTGCGGGAGGAGGAGAACACATTTAGTATTGTATCTTTGAGGCTTCTCCAGTCATCACTATGGGACAGAGCATTATATTCATGGAAAGGGCATCAAAATTCCACTATGAAGTTTAAAGAAAAACTTTAATACTCTGCAAATGCCGTTAGAGACAACATTGTTTTTATAGTCACTAAGCTTTATGATATACCAACTTCAGACATATTTCCCAGTCATTTTAAACAAAAAAAATCTTTAATCTTCCACACTGACATGAGAACCACCATCCAGACTACACATTACACCAACATCAAAATAAACTAGGTGCTCTTAAAATAGAACATTGACACAAATTCCTAGGGTGAAAAAAAAAACCACCTAGCATTCTGAACTAACTGTGGCTCTTTTGCTGAAACTTACAAACAAGTAACACCACAGTACAATGAAATCTAAAATAATTTCTACCAAAAATAGCACAGGTTTCGTAAGTACCCAGATTTCATAAACTCTCAAATGCAGTACTCTAAATATCAATGTTTATTGACTGAATTAGCTCTCAGAAACACTGTAAATGCTATTCTTTCTCATACTGTTATTTTTTCTAGTCTCAAGAACCTGCTCCAGAGTACCAATTCATGTCAGGCCCCCAATTCTCTCATGCTCATCCTCCATGATGTTTTTTTCCACACTATCCCTAAACCAAACATCGAACATTAATGCCCTTTTAGAAAGGGGAAAAGTAGCTAAAGATTTGCCTGAAAGCTACAGTCTTGTCACACACTAGCAGCGCTATATCTATATCATCATACTCTACTTTGCTTGATAAAATTTAGATAAGCATCCTTAAAAACACTACTTGTATCTGTATACTTAAAGATTTAAAGATCAAACAACTGAGAAAAGTTAGGAGATCCAACATAGGAATTCTGCCATGTAAGGAAAGCCAAGATAACACAACTATTTAATTCAATTCCACATGGAACAAGACACGAGAATGTCCACTAAAAGCAACATGAGCTTGGCCCTATAAACTAGACAAGGTACACAAGTCAATTTTACTGTTCCTGGGGTTCCCTCCGTACAGAAACTTTGTAAAAAAAAAAAATATTTAACTTCACACTTAAGTTCTGTGTAAGTCTTTGTAAGGTTAGAAGCTGTACACTGTACACGAGTCCAAAAAAACCAAAATACAGGAGAAGTGAGCGATTCAGCAACGGGCAGGGTGGAGCAGAAGGCGGGACAATGACCTAATAGGTCTTTTCTATCTTTAGTTTCATGAGCCTCTGTGGACAAGAAGCATCTGGATCACACGCTCTGCTCTCCAGCCGACACACCACGGGAACTCGGGACACGTCCCTTCTGGCAGGGCAGCAGGTGGGCGCAGTGCTTACCGGCCTAACCAAGTTCTCCGGAAACTTGATGCTGACAACAGGTATCCCAAGGTGACACAGCTTACAGACAGGCAAGCTTTAGACAGTGTTGAACTCGGAAGCAATGCTACAACTCATTTTTTAGCTACGCGCAATACTACAAGTGACTCGAGTTGCCCGCTTGCCCTTACCTTGAACACTTTACCGAAAGCACCATCTCCCAGCTCTCCTATAATTTCCCAGAACTCCTCAGGGTTCAAATCCCTTTTGACGTGCTCGTACTGTTTCTTCTTCTTCTCACCACCCAGCTTGAAGATCTTGCGAAAGTTGAAGAAGGACATTTTCCCTCCTGC